ACACAGCATATCTATTGTTTTTTTCATATTCGAAAGTGTAAAACAGTTATATTTTCATTAAGCAAACGTCCACCGGACGGAATTGCGCAAAACGCATATGAAAAAAAAAAACCGGATACCCTGGTGCGCTTTGCTATTTATTACTTTTGCTTTTCAAAGTCTGTGTTCTTTCTAGAGTTGACAGTTGACGGGTTCCAGCTCCCCCTTTCCCCTTGAATTCCTTTTCATCCATAAGCACTCTAACAATTAGTAGAAGTAAAAAGTTTCCAACAATAAAAATTTTAGGTCTCATAAAAGTTGTAGTGAAACCCATCAGGACAAATTATTCGTTTTTTTTTTTGAATTCAATGGAAGTTATTTATTAGTACGTGGTACCGCGAAAAAGAAAGCGACTCATAAATGATCACCGAAAAAGACCTAATTACTGAAATCGGCGTTATATTGGGGAGGTGCTATTGGCGGTCTGAGCTATTTAGGTCGCAGTTTTTTTTTTAAATTTTAGGTGACAGAGGAGAGTTTGAAACCAAATGAGCCTGCTATCAGCATATTCATCATGTTACAATCCTCTTCTTAGTTAATTCAGCTGTTTTTATAAATTTTTATCTATGATCGGTGTGTTCGTATGATAAGAAGCGTGCATTGTACGCTTTGATAACCTGATGTATTTACAGTACAGTATTATACCATAGCAGTGCTACAGCTAGGATTGGCAGAATGGAGGAAGCAGCAGTTCACTTCGGAAGGTGCTAAAATTTTGCGAAGATTTTTTGATTTTGAGGAGAAAAAATAGCAAAGAATGAGCACAGTGGAATATTGCAGAAAAAAATTACCTCAATTGTGAGTTAAAAATTGCACTATAAAAACATAAAAATGCCTCCGAAAACATTAAATTGAACTGAGTGCAATTTAAAAAAAAAAAAGAGGGAGGGGAAAACTTGTCCGGATTTAGGGAACAAATGAACAGATGCGTAGTATTTAGAAACTAAAAATGGAGACATGTGCCAGGTTTTTCCTCATTTCGGGAGTTCAATATATCATGTTCTGAGCAAATCAACGACTGGATCCTCTCCCCTCTGCGCTAATGAATTCCGCTTATTCTGCTGCCAACTCTCCACCAGTTTTAATTTGAAAAAATTAGCCCATAAATGCGCTAACCATTTCGGTGCGATATGCCATTTCGCGCTCAAAATCGGCCAAATGCGAGAAATGTCGATCATTTTCGAACAGCGACATCACGTGCGTATAATCAACTACTGCTGCCACAACCGCTAAAAAACCCATAAATTCAAGTTTTGTTTGATTTTTATTTCCTAAATATGACTCAGAAACGAAAAAGCATTCATGATTCTTATTACAACTTTTCGCTTTGATGAACAGTTAAACTTACTCTTGAACTGAATGAGTTCCATGCTCTGTCAGTTTGGACCTTGCTGAGCTACAAAATTTCGTTCAGTTTTTTCAAGCAAGATACCAACTCATCCTGTGTATGTGTTCAGAAAGAGACATGACGACAAAGTGGTGCTCCCTCTCATATCGCTAGCTGCCATCCTCACCCAACAAAAAATTACAATAAAAATTTTATTATCGACATGCAATTGTCGGTACTAGCTCAACAAACAGGAAAAAAAAACCAGTTCACACAGGCACAAAGACTCTGTGCACTAATTACCTTCTGACACATACTCGGAAAAACGAGGTTCACAAAAATATGTTCTCTTTCTTGAACAAACTCACAACTCAAAAGCCTTTCCGCATCTTGGTGGCTCCCAGTGCGAGTGGGCACACTTTTCTAGCCCAGTTAGTGTTTGCTCGTCAACCCCTCCTCTCTTTCTGTGGACTTATTGGAAAGGCAAACTCAGCCCTAGAAACAACAGCTGTCAAGCTTAACACTCGAATCGGACTTTCTGTATAATTTCTAAGTCGCTCTATGCCGAGCCCTCGATGTTACTGCGATGCAGCCGCAGTTAAGCAACAGGCCTCGTTGGTTGGTGATACCAGTTATAATCAGGTACTCCCGGACGGCGTGACCCCTTGCTTAATCGCAACTGCATTACAGCTCTTCGT